CCTATTTCTTACTCTATACTGTGGGAACAATCATTACTATACGTTCTTTCAGAATTGTTGTAAGAATTAAATGAGCTAGTAGGGAAAAGAGCCCTGTACCATACAACCTAGCTCGTATGAGTTTCCTCAGTTCTTGACAGGACTTCAATACTTAGTCTGATTCCTTAGCATTTGCATTTTTAATTACAAAGTCTAGTGTTTGAATAGTCATCTACTTTTATCACATAGTTATTCAGTGGTTAATTTAGAAATAATCTGAAATACTAGTTCCCAATTACAATTTGTTTCTAACTTTTAGAAAATAGTATAATCATTTTTGGGCTTCCCCGGTAGCTCAGTAAAGAATCTGTCTGCAATGCCAGAAACCTGGGTTCCATCCCTGGGTCAGGAAGATCCCCTGGAGAAGGGGATGGCAACGCACTCCAGTATTCTTGCCTGGAAAATTCCATGGACAGAGGAGCCTGGCGGGCTATAGTCCATGGGGTTGCAAAGAGTCCAACATGACTGAGCAATTTTCACTCACTCATAATCATTTCAGGAGGTATATTAATATTTTGTATAATGATAAGTGTACATCAAATATAAACAAGTGGTCTGATTTCTACTTGACATCTGAAATTTCATTGGTTTTAAGGGATCATCAAGTAGTAAGTGATTATGTTGTAACATGGTGTCTGCCTCCATGAACAGCGTCTCACTGTATCTCACTGTGTGCGACGTTCACTGAACCCATGCTAGGCAAGGCAGAAGCAGGGAAGCCAGAAGAAAACTCAGAGTTGCAGGAATTGCAGACACAGTTATTTTCCCCTGACTGGCACAGCAGCACTAGCAGCGGCTATGCTGTATTCTCTCCTCTTGTGGTGGACCCAGCCGTCACAGCCATAACACAGCCTCACCGCCATAACGCAGCCAAAACGTAACTGCAAGGGCTTTTTCAGGTGCAGCTTATATATGCTTACAGACCAAAGGTAGCCAGCGTCCAAGTGAGTACCTTGGGACGTGCATGCGCAGTGCTGTAAGTGAGCTCAACTGTTATATAATCATTATTTACAAAACATGGGGCAAGAGTGAAAGGACATGGTGAGAGAGCCTGACCACCACCATCTTGGCTAATTTCCTCTTTCCCTACAAACAGAAAGTGATATCAGAATCAACCAGAAAGATCTCACTTGGAAAACAGTGAAAAGACAGCATTTTGCACATTAGTATTAGAAACAAATATTATAAAACACTAATTATGCATTTCAACACAAATACAAAAAGGATTTAAAAAAACAATATACTCAGAATGCTTTGAAGTCTTCAGAAGGCCTTCAGGAATGAGACAGTTGAATTAGAGGAAGATACAGATGAACTACAATCTGGAATGTGTACACAGACAACTATTGATTTTACTTTCTCTAACTCTTGAGCTCATATTTTTATTCATGCTTTTTTTTAATTAGAATTTCCTCAGATTATCAGAATTACTATTATATAAAGCAGTTCATATTTTATGTATGCACCGTCACCTAATTTATTTATTTTTCATAAACATAAGTCCTGCCATCTAAGATATTGTAAACAAATAGCTGTTATTAACATGTAGAAAATATAAACATGACAATTTTGCATGACTTCATCTTCTCAATGACAATATACCAGCTTAAGCAAGTCATTGTTGGTGGGCTCATCGTTCTGTTCAGACTCTTCAGGTCATGAAGGAACTGGTAGTGTCATCTCTCTCTGCTACAGAGTCAACACATTCAGATGGCTTTTGACTCGCCATTGCAGCTTTCCTTAAACACTTAGAAGTTCCACCTGAAGTCCATCCCTTTGCTGCTCTTTCTCAGGTTGTACAAATTAAAAATCAAATCAGTGCATCACTCTTCTCCTTTCTATCTGTAGTGCTTTTTCTTTCCCACCCTCTGTCTGTTCCTTCCTTTTTCCCTCTCTCCTTACCCGTACTAGTTTATTCCAAGGAACAGTTCATGGGCAAAGAGCCCTTTCTTCCTGGATCAGGTAGAACAGACCATCCTACTCATTCAACCAGTCAGCCAACTCCTTTCCTTCCCGGAATGCATCCTTTGTTTCATCTTCAAGGGACTCTGCTGATTTGCTAAATGACCTTTTCCTCATAATTTAAAGAACTTCTGTTTTTAGAAGTTCTTCTCAAGTCCTTCTGTCACCTAATTTACAATTTGTCCTGTCCCACCTCGTTTGTGCATGTTCTTCTTCTCTTAAATTGAATCCTTATTTTGAAAGATGTCTTTCTATCCTGAAATAACTATTTGGCTCTACCAATTAACTACACAAGCAAAATTTTTTGAACACTTAACATTTTAGTACCTCAGCACAAATTTTTTTTTTTTTAGCTTCTCAAAAAATGTTTATTTACTCTCTTAAAATAGTGTCAAGGTATCTTGTGGACTATTAACTCAAAGTTTTCTGAATGTTTTGTATTTGACTTCCTCCTTGCATGTGTTCTTAACTTATCTATTCCAGCATGGCTAGAGCACAGTAATCAAGTGGGAAATACAGTTTGAAAGTCAGGTTGGAGACGTCCAGGGCTGCCGTAATGGTATCCTGCTTGTGCCATGAATAACAGCACAGGCCAGGGGAGAGAAGGAAGCCGAAACCAGGCCTGGGCTCTGCTCACCTTGTCCTGTGCCCTGCCCAAGGCTGTATTTATCTAAGGAAGGTGTGCTTGGCTGATTCTTGCAAAGGTGTCATAGGGGCTGGTGGTGGTCTAGTAGAAGATAATGTATGGGAGTTTGGATTTTATAATGCAGTGAGAAGCCATCAAGAGGGAATAAAAGAATTCAATGTACAGTTTGTGAAGAACACTCTGCTGTGTATCAGGGGTTGGAGAGAGGCAAGAGTAGAAGCAAGGAGGCCAGTCATGAGGTGGTGGTGACCACAACTAGGGTGGTGATAGTAAGAAGTGCAGAGAAAGCAATAGATTCCATGTATCTTTTGGAGGCAAAATGAGCAGGGCTTGATGGTGGATTAGGTGTGGAGGGTAAAGGAGAGAGAAGTGTGAAAGGCAATTGCTCCAGGTACTGACTTGAATAACTCCATGGGTGGTGGTGCACATCCTGAGATAGGGAGCATTGAGGAAGGAACAGGTGGGAGGGGACTGTATCAAGATCTCTGGTACAGTTTATTTGAGCACCTATGATGTATCTATATGGCTACCAGGAGGCAAGAACAAAAGTAGCTGAAATTCAGAAGAACATCTGCTTTTTTCTCTAGGTGCCCTGAGGCTTTCCTTGCTTTTCACAATCTGATAACAACCTATCTGAACAATTCTGTCACGTGCAGAAATGATTATCGGTATCCTTTCCTCCAAACAATCTAGGAAAGAGCCAAAACAACTCCGGTGCAGTGAGTATAAGCATAAGTGCTTTGCCTTGAGGCAAATGAACAGGGCACTAAGCCCCACTGACCCCATACTATGCATTTTATGTCATTTAAAGGGCTCCCTGCAAAGTTCCTTAGCAAACTCTCTGTTTCCCAGCTTTAGTGTTCCCTTGAGAAATTCAAGCTGACCTCTCTCCTTCTCTTACTGGCTTGAGAATCACAGTCACAGTAAGTCAAGTTTGACAGTTTTTCTCCCAAGTTATCTCTGCATTTACTTGGTCTTAGAATTTATAATCTAAATAATTTATAATGGCACAATGTAAATCTAGAGCCAGCCTGTCACTGGGGTCACTTCTCTAATCCGCTAGATAAACTCCCAGGCGTGAATGACTCCAGTACTCATGGATTTGTTCTCTCTTGCTCAAGTAGGCAGAGCCAAAACCAGTGACTAAAAACCACAGGGAGAGAGATGTTGGCCCAACTAAAGGAAAAGCTTCCTAATGCTTAGCGCTGTCTGAAAATGGAAGTGCCTGCTGGGGAAGGAGTGAGTTATGGTTTCTGGTGGTGTCAAGGCATAGAGCAGATAATCATTTGGTGCAGATTCCATGGTAGAGATTGAAGTCAGGGTGTAGAAGTAATCTCCACTGACTATTGAATTCCTGCTCCTGCAAGAGCTTTACACAGATGTTTCGTCTCATTTAATCCTCATAACAACCCCCAAGGGAATCAGTTATAACCCCACCAAGAGAGGTTACAGTCACAATTTAAGATCACACAGCTAGAGTGGCAGAGCCAGGATTTAGAGCCAGGATTTAAACTCGGAGTCCAAAGCCTTTGTTTATCCTTCCACAATTCATGGAAGCTTGAGAAAATGAACTAGGGGATTTTTAAGGTCCCTTCCAGCACTGTGGTTCTGAGTCAAAATCTGGATACAGGCATCACTGACTATGTTTTCTTTCAGTCACCCTTCTGGCCTCAATCTCATTAAAATGATAATCTATGACTCCAAAACTGTCTGTGGTCTCCTCAAGAAAGGCCCGTTTTTTAAAAATCAGCATGTATACCTTGTATCCACTCTGAGTTTTCAACAGAATTTAGTGTGAGAGCCTCAAAATCTTTTCTTCTTTTTTTTTTCCTTATAGGGTTGCTGGCAAAGGACAGAGTTCACACTATAAATGTACAGAAGACTAAGCTTTTAGTATTTCTGAAAACTTATAATATATTGTCCTAACTTCTCTACTCATTTTACAGGTCTTAAAAGTCTTAGAAGATCTGGAGATATTTGACCCAAGGTCAACTGCTCTGGTCCAAGTTCTGAGTCAGATTTTTTTTAACATTAGAATTTAAAAATTCATGTTAGAATTAGAATTTTTAAACGATTAGACCCTAAGAGTTCTCATCACAAGGAAAAGTTCTATTTCTTTAATTTTATCTCTATATGAGATGATGGATTTTCTGTAAACTTTTGTGATAATAACTTCAGGATACATGTAAGTGAAATCTTTATAGTGTATACCTTAAACTTATATAGTACTGTATATCAATTATATCAACAAAACTGGGAGAAAAAATGAGTCTGAAAATAGGCTTAATTTACTTATGATAATAGGGCATTAAATTTACTTATGATAATCTGTGTGTTAAATGCTGTTTTCTAGATTGAAGCTGAACTCGCCAAGGAAAGAGCCCAACATTTGGTTGAATTTCAGGAGCAAGCTCTTCTCTTTAAGGAAGAAGCTAAACTGGAACTTGATATTGAAAAGGAAAAACACCAAGAAATAATCCAAAAGTATAAGAAAGAACAAGAAGAACTACAAATGAAGGTCTGTCATTATGGTTTTCATCATCATTTAATGGATTTGAAATTGTAGATGTTGGTTATTTCCTCCTAAGGACAACACTATATTTCTAACTCCTATGGATTTCCTCATGGTCATCACAGCTTATTTTTAGATAGAATGATTTGGCTATTCTCCATAATGAATGACTGAAATAAATTATATAAGAATATAATCCAGCTAGGTATGGAATTTTTCCTACTAAATAAATGTATTTTTAAAACAGCATAAATTATGTAACTAATAATTAACATGGTTAGATATTCTAATACCTCAAATGTCCAGCAAAAGATAATGATGTGTTTTACATAATTAAAATTTTACCAACAACTAAAGTCTATCCCCTTTAGCTGCAAATATGTTCAATTCTAGTTTTGAATGAAGGGGAAATATTTTTTAAATATCAGACTTCCATAATTTCTTAAACAATGTACACCAAACAAAATATAAGGTTTTGACAAGGTTCCTTGTTTTCATAAGACGTGAAAGTAGAGTGTGTGTCTTTTGTGTGAGTATATTAACCAAGTCCTAGTGGTAAAGTTATATTCTGAATAAACTCATTAAGAGCTTATGTAGATTAGCACTGAATGAGACTTATGGCCTCCACTTCGTTGTACAGAGGATATGGTACAGTTTTTTCAGTAGCTCACTATGACTAGGCAGGGCCAGCCACGTGAATGTGGTGTCACAGGTCCCCATACAAACCTTGCAGGTTTAATGCCCTGCAAATGCTGTCTTGAAATTCTTAATAATAATTTAATCTCTGAATTTGTGTTTATAAGTGCAGTCCTGTTTGGGACAATGGGACAATGGAGCATGCCCTGGGAGCCTGTAGCCTCGGCTCCCCTAAGGCCCCCTCCTCATCTTCTGGACAGTCCTGTCCTAGACATGCCCTTACTTCCCGACTCCTGCCCCCACTCCCCTTCCCCCCACCCCGTGACTGCTGTTACTCTCCCAGGCGGCCCAGGACCGTCAGCAGGGGAATGCTGAAAGGCAGGCCCCAGCTTGCCAGGGCTACAGTCTTTCAAGAGAAGTCCTAAGTCCAGATTTTGTGAGTGAATTCTCTCGATTTTTTTTTTTTCTTTTACTGTTGAGTCCCTTATTACAAAATCAAAGCCTGTTTATGGTTCTGTGAGCCTCCCCCAAGATAACATGCTCTGTTCAGTGGCAGCTCTCCTCTGGATGAAGGAAACTACTGCTCAGACCCAGAAGTGACCCTCTTCTTCCCTGGGTTAATTGAAGAAAATGTAATATTAATTTATAAAAACTGTGGTGAATAGGTTTCTTGTAAAAGTTATTGTTAATGTAAATTTAACATTTGAAACAAATTTGGGGTACATAACTCTTAAGTAATGGTTCACAAAATCCTTGGAACTTTAGTCTGTAAATGCTTTCCAGATTCTTCATGGGCTGATTTCTTGTTGTACTAATATTTATAATATGACAATATCCGTAGCATAAATAATGATATGTTTTGTCAGAAGCAGCTTTGCTCTTCCTGGTCTGTTTTGTGTTATTTGTTTTGCTTTTTTTAAGGAGAAAAATAAGCAGTCTTTTCCTTTCTAAAGATGCTGTGACACTGAGAAGTTTCTCAAGTTGTTCTTTCCTCTTTGTCTGGAGGTACCACCTTCAGAAGCAGTGTATTTTCAAAGTATTCTGGTATCCTCTAGAACTGCATTGTCTAATATAGTAACTTACGCGTCTACTTAAGTTTCAATTAGTTAAAATTAAATAAAATTGAAAATTGAGTTCCTCACTCATGTTCACCACATTTCAAGGGTGCAACAGGCCATACTAGAAGTGAGAGCCTACTGTTAACATTTCTTTTCAGTTCAGTGATCAGTGATTTCACCTTCGTAGCTTGGAATTGGTCATGGTGAGAGTGTTTATACCATGGAAAATGAATACAAATTTGACTTCTGTGTGTGTGTGTGTGTGTGTGTGTGTGTGTGAATCCATTGTTAAATATTTACCAGTGCAGTTGTGTCTGACTCTTTGCAGCCCCCATGGACTTTATAGTCCATGGAATTCTCCAGGCCAGAATACTGAAGTGGGTAGCCTTTCCCTTCTCCAGGGGATCTTCTCAACCCAGGGACTGAACCCAGGTCTCCCACATTGCAGGTGGATTCTTTACCAGCTGAGCCACAAGTGACACCCAAGAGTACTGCAGTGGGTAGCCTATCCCTATCAGCGGATCTTCCTGACCCAGGAATCAAACCAGGGTCTCCTGCGTTGCAGGCTGATTCTTTGCCAACTGAATTATCAGGGAAGTATTTACCAGCACACCACTATCAACAGTCACATATGGGTAGTGGCTACCACATAAGACAGTGCAGAATATTTCTTCTTCTTGTTCAGTCACTAAGTTGTGTCTGACTCTTTGCAACCCCATGGACTGCAGCACACCAGGCTTCCCAGTCCTTCATTGTTTCCTGGAGTCTATTCAAATTCATGTCCATTGAGTCGGTGACTCTATCTAATCATCTCATTCTCTGCCGCCCCCTTCTCCTTTTGCCTTCAGTCTTTCCCAGCATCCGGGTCTTTTCCAATGAGTCAGCTCTTCTCATCAAGTAGCCAAAGTATTGGAGCTTCAGCTTCAACATCAGTCCACCAATGAATATTCAGGGTTGATTTCCTTTAGGATTGACTGGTTTCATCTCCTTGCTGTCCAAGGGGATCTCAAGAGTCTTCTCCAACACCACAATTCGAAAGCATAGGTTCTTCAGTGCTTAGCCTTCTTTATGGTACGGCTCTCACATCTATACATGACTACTGGAAAAACCATAGCTTTGACTACATGGACCTTTGTCAGCAAAGTGATGTCTCTGCTTTTTAATATGCTGCCTAGGTTTGTCATAGCTTTTCTTCCAAGGAGCAAGCATCTTTTAATTTCATGGCTGCAGTCACCATCTGCAGTGATTTTCGGAGCCCAAGAAAATAAACTCTGTCATTGTTTCCATTTTTACCCCAGCTATTTACTGTGAAGTGATGGGACCAGATGCCATGATCTTATTGTTTTTTTAATACTGAGTTTCAAGCCAGCTTTTCCCTCTCCTCTTTCACCTTCATCAAGAAACACTTCAGTTCCTCTTCACTTTCTGCCACTGGAGTGGTATCATCTGCATATCTGGGGTTGTTGATATTTCTCCAGCAGTCTTGATTCCAGCTTGTATTTCATCTGGCCACCTTTTACATGATGTACTCTGTATATAAGTTAAATAAGCAGGGTGATGATATATAACCTTGAGGTACTCCTTTCCCTATTTTGAACCAGTCCATTGTTCCATATCTGGTTCTACACGTTGTTTATTGACTCCACATACAGGTTTCTCAGGAGGCAGGTAAGGTGGTCTGGTATTCCTATCTCTTTTAAGAATTTTCCACGGTTTGTTGTGACCCACATAGTCAAAGGCTTTAGCATAGTTAATGAAGCAGAAGTAGATACTTTTCTGGGGTTTCCTTTCTTTTTCTATGATCCAACAAATGTTGGCAATTGGATTTCTACTTCCTCTGCCTTTTCTAAATCCAACTTGTACATCTGGAGGTTCTCAGTTCACATACTGCTGACAGCTACCTTGAAGGATTTTGAACATAACCTTACTAGCATGTGAAACGAGGGTGCAATTGTATGGTGGTTTGAACATTCTTTGGCATTGCCCTTCTTTGAGACTGGAATGAAAACTGACATTTTCCAGTCCTATGGCCACTGCTGAGTTTTCCAAATTTGCTCATGTATTCTGTCACTGAAGAAAGTTCTATTGGGCAGGGATACTATAGAAGGTGTGGTATCTAGGGTATCCTAGATCATATACAAGATCATATACAAGGATAAAAAAAAATACATCAAAGGAAACCTTACTAGTATGATTTGAGTAGACTGTAGCACCGAAGAATTGATGCTTTTGAACTGTGGTGTTGGAGAAAACTCTTGAGAGCCCCTTGGACTGCAAGAAGATCCAACCAGTCTATCCTAAAGGAAATCAGTCCTGAATATTCATTGGAAGGATTGATTCTGAAGCTGAAGCTCCAATACTTTGGCCACCTTATGTGAAGAACTAACTCGTTTGAAAAGACCCTGATGCTGGGAAAGATTGAAGGTGGGAGGAGAAAGGGATGACAGAGGTTGAGATGGTTGGATGGCATCACCAACACAATGGACATGGGTTTGGGTGGACTCCACGATTTGGTGATGGACAGGGAGGACTGGCGTGCTGCGGTTCATGGGGTCGCAAAGAGTCAGACACAACTGAGTGACTGAACTGACTGACTGACTGTAGCTATGATGCTCTCCTACATGCATCCCCAAACATCAGGTATTTCTAGGTCCCAAAGTCACCCTAAAATGAGTCCAGACAGGCACTTGATCAAGACTTGAGTTGTCCTTGGTAGTTCAGTTCAGTTACAAAGATTTAGGTATTTCAAAGTATGTTCAAATGATTAATACAATTCCATTTTGGGTAATAAAAATAAAATCTTAGTCTTAACTCTTAAAATCGTGAAGGCCTATATATGTCTTAAGATTTGTTTTCATCAGATCAGACAAAAACACCAATTATTTAGAATAAACCTCTTAAAACCAAGAGAATTCTGTGGCTACCTAGAGACTATTACCTACAAACTAATGCAAGGCTTATCTTACAGATATCTGACTTAATCGAAGGTGCTACTAAAGATCTAAGACTGAAACTCGCTGCTCTTGAAGAAAAACTCCATGAATCCCATGTTCAATATACTGAAGAATCTGCGTTAAAGGAGAAAGAAATTGAAAACCTTAAAAATTTGGTTGTAGAATTTGAATCACGTTTGAAGAAGGAAATTGACGGTAATGGTTCAGTTTCAGAGGACCTGAGGAAGGAAATGAAAAAGAAGTCAGATGAACTAGAAAGAGTAATGCTGGCACAAACACAACTGATGGAGCAATTCAACCAGTCCCAGAAAGAGGTAGGAAGCAGGTGATGGTACCAATGCAGTTGGTGAAAGAGTGCTGGTCTTTCAACAAATAAACAAACAGACAAAGACATGAAATGTATCTTGGTGTCATGCAGAAAGTTCTGGACTATTAGTCAGAGACCTGGGGTCATATCCTGGCTCTGTCCTTAACTAGGCAGGCATTTAACCTCTCTGGACCTGGCTTCCTTTTCTGTAAAATAAATAATACATTTATCTATGTAATCTCTAAGGTTTCCTTGGCAAGTTCTACTGTGTTGCAAATGACCATTTAAAACCTCTAAGATTAGAAATCTTTATATATTTATGTCTTATTTGTTGAAACATTACATTTTTGCCAAAGAAACCTTTAGACTACTTGCTGTTTAATATTTTAGACTGTATATTTTAAATACAGGTGTTCTTTAGGGTTTTATTGTTCTGTCATTCTAAAGTTGTAAGATAACCTACATGTATTGGTCTTCTTTCCTGTGTATGCATGATTATTTCAGCAGTATTTTATTTAAACTGGAGTAGACAAGTTCATGTCCATGGCATCAGCAAACTTTGGGAGATGGTGAGGGGCAGGGAGGCCTGGCATGCTGCAGTCCATGGAGTTGCAAAGAGTCAGACACAACTGAGCGACTGAACAACAACAAACTTATCCCTGGTGGCTTAGTGGTAAAGAATCCACCTGCAATGCAGGAGACACAGGTCCAGTCCCTAGGTCAGGAAGATCCCCTGAAGAAGGAAATGGGCAGAGGAGCCTGACAGGATACAGTCCATGGGGTTGCAAAGAGTTGGACACGATTTAGTGACTAAACAACAACAGAGTTATTTTGATTTGAATTTTTTTTTCCTAACAAAATCTTATTTCTGAACTGCTGACCATTTTAGAAATGGTGAATGCTACGGACTGAATGTCTTCCCAAATTCATATGTTAAATATAATCACTAGTATGATGTATGGAGATGGGTCTGTCAGAAGTGATTATGTCTTGAGAGATGAGCTAATCTCCTGAATGGAATTAGTGCACTTATGAAAGAAAGCTTCCTCACCCCTTTCACCACATGAGGACATAGTAATAAGATGGCCATTTTGAATCAGGGTCCTTACCAGACACCAAGTCTGTTGGCATTTTCATCTTGAACTTCGCAGTCTCCAAAACTTTGAGAAATAATATTTGTTGTTTGAACTGTGCAGCCTCTGGTATTTTGTTTTAGTAACCCAAATTTATTAAAATAGTGGGGCAATTTTCCAATAGCCAAGAATTAGAATATTGTCATATTAGAATATTTGATCCTATTTATGACAGTATAGCAGATAAAGGCAAATGGAGGAAGATTCTGAATGTTAGTGATAAATTTTTTTGTTTTATTGGTGTCTTAAAGATGAATAAAAGGAAAGTGCTAGTAGTAATATTGATTAACAAATATACCATGTTTTCTTGCTATTTGTAAATTATCAACCAAAATTCAAAGTGTATACCATCATTATAATTATGACCTATTGCAAAGAAATTTTAAGTTAAAATGTGGAATGAATGGAATATTGAATCAAGAATAATACCTAAAAACCCTATTAAAGTAGAAATTACTTCCATGTTACAGGTGAGAAACTGACTCAAGATGTTTGAATAATTTCTAAGATGACCCAGCATGGTGGAGCCAAGATTCAAATTTGAATTTCTAAGATTTGGATCACTAAATTTCATCTCCATGAATCTCTATATTTCCTCTTTTAGGATACCTGAATTTTAGTGATTCTGCTTCTAAATTTCAAAGTGACCTAAGGCTTGGCACTCAAATCTCCAGGACACTCACACTCACACACACACACACACACACACACACACACACACACACACACACCCTCTCTCTCTCTTACTTTTAGAATAATAATAAACAAACTAATGCTTACTCCACCAGATGGCTAGGGTGTTGTGTGATTGAATGTCTCCTGTTGGAACACAGCACCACAACCTCCCTTGGAAAAGGGGCTGCTCCTCCAGTCCAGGCAGGAGTGGGAAGAGCCAGCACACACATGGACTCAGCTCTGCTGGAGCAGGAGAGAGGTGATACTTCAACTAAGACAGCAGTGTTGAAGTTCTAGAGGAGGGACAGCAGGTTAAAGGAGAGAAGGTCCAAAGTAACTAGACCAGCAGGTTTTCTAACTCTCAAATCTCCCAAAGAAATGGCAATATGGAAAGTGATGAGTTATTTATAAACTAGGACATTTATTTATTCTAGGAATTTATAAATTAGAACAAGACTATAAAGGGTCAAATCCAGGAAATATATAATAGGCCAGTGCCTGTATTCAAGTGCCAGGCACTGTGCTAGTCATGAATATGCAATTATGAACATGACTGACAACTGCCATTCCCTGCTTTCAAAGAGGAATTTAGAGAAAATATTATGTTGAGCAGTTAAAGTGACATCCAGAGGCAAGAATGATCTAAAAAGAAACTTCCCATGTAAAAAACACAGACTAAAAGTTAACAATCTGGCCATAGGACTTGCATTAGTTATGTATTGTTATATAACAAACTGTCATCAAAATCAGTGGCTTCAAACAGCAAACATTTATTTCTGAGTGTCAGAGATCTGAATGTACAGCTTAGCTGGATGCCTCTTGCTCAGTACCTCTCATGAGGTTGGTGTTAGGGTGTCAGCTGCTACAGTCTCATTAAAAGGCTCAACTGGGGGTGAGTTGACTTCCAAGCTCATTTATGTAGTTGTCAACAGGATTTACTTCCTCATGGTTGTTGGGCTGAAAGCCTCAGTTCAGTGTTGGCTGAAGAAGGGGAAGAGAAGACCCCCTCACTTCCTTCCAACATGCACTTTTCCATAGAAGAGCCTGGCAACATGGTAGCTAGTCTCTCTCAAAACAAGCAAGTAAGAACGAGAGAGTGCAAGAGACAGTGCCCAAGATGGAAGCCACAGTCTCTCTAACTTAATCTCAGAAGTGGCATCTCACTGCTTTTGCTGCATTCTATTCATTAGAGATGAAACAACAATTCCAGGCCATACTCAACTCAAAGGGGTTGCAGAAGGCTGTGAATAGCAAGAGGGCAGGGATAAGTGGGGGCCAGTTTATAGGTTGCCAACTCAGGGCCTCTGAAGGTAACTTTGGCAAGAGAAGCTAGACTACAAGTGAAGAATGAGTATCTTTTTCACACAAAAGCAGCTACATTTGGAATTCTTCCTGCTTGTTGGTTGTAACAGGAAGCCACTCAGAGATGAAATTTTTCTACATGCAGACTTTGGAAAGATACAGGATACTGAGTTGGTATATAAATGATCATAGATCATTACTGGGAAATAGAAAGGGATTGTAGCAAAAGTAAAGTTATCTTGGGACATGGCTGAGGGCAGACTTCCCATTAGAAGTTAGACAATTACAACTGAACTGTAAGAGTAAATAATTAAGACTGCTTCTCTGTTTAAGAATGCTGAAATCCAGAACATTCTTATTAAATTGGAAATGAATTAATACAAATGATAGGAATTATGAGCCAGAATGAACTGAGGTTGTTAGCATGTAAAGTAAAAAGCACTACTTTTTGTGACCATGCATTCCAGACACTTGAAATTTCTCAGGTTCTGGAGGGAAAAAAGCATCATTTAAGTGGACAACAAATTCCCATTAGAAAGAAGATAAATTAATGGTCTAATAAGAAAGCTAATTAAGGAGAGGAAAACCCCACTCTCATTCAGGAGACCAGAAAATAGGTAGGACTTTGTTTTTAATTGTGTAAAGAAAGTTCTCAAGGATATGAGGAAAGCCATAGCCTCCAAAGGACAAAATGGATATTCCTCCATGGAGCAGGGGTGAGTGGAGTGCTGCCACAGAAACGAGGGTCAAGAAGGTGAGGCAACAAAAGGTTCAGGTCAATAAGAAGAGAAAAAACAGGAAGTAAAACTATATGGGAAATGTAAATGTAAAAAAGGGGGCTCCTGAAATTCTTTACAGGGAAAAGACACAGACATCAAAAATTGGAACAGTTTAAAAAAAAATAAGAAGCCAGAAAAGAAACATAATATGTTAGAGAACAGGACATTATCATTTAAAACCAGCTTAAAATAGATCTCATGCTTTTTGCTGCCAGTTTTCCTTCCTTACTAGCTCCGTATGAGCTCTACCAAGACAGTGTGACTCCACTGTTTGGGGCCTTGGATCCAAAAGGAGAATGTGAAAAACAGATCAAAGTAAAGCCAGTACAGAGAGTTCAATATTTTTGTTGACTTTAAACTATAGATAAGGAAAACATAAGGGGCAGAAGTTTTAAATTCTCCCACTTCCTGTGGCTATCTAATGAGGATGAAAGATATTCAAAAATAGAAGGTAATGCTCTTGTTTAAACATGAATGATTAAATGCATATTTTTATTTCTGTGTCCATCCCCAAACACCACTAAAATGACAGTAAATTAATAAAATGTGAATAAATACATAGGGAAAAAAGAACAAGAAAGGAGATGACATTTGATGAAGAAAATGTTGACCAAAATTTGGAAAATGGAAAGTAAGGTTATGGATGAGAGGTAATCAGCAGGCTATGGATATTGAAACCTAATGCTTGTGGAGAGTGTGAGAGTGCATGGAATCCTAAAAAGGAGCAAACCCAATCACATTAGAAAGGCTCACCAGATATCTCTCAAAGAGGGAGAGAAGAGTAGATCTGAAAACAGGGCTGTTTGAATGTTTTTTAATGGTGCAAACAGGTGCTTAGATGCCCTCTGCAACCCCAGGCAGCCCCCACCTACCATCCTGGCAGGATACTAAAGTTTTACACTCTAGAAAACCTGAATGCAAGAGACTTTGGACTTGAGGATACACAGAAGCAGGATATGATATAAGGCAAGAGCTAGAGTGAAGGTCTGTATATTTCAGGGTGAGACCTCCCAGTCCCTGTCACCCACTCACTTCCCAGAACACAGACAACCAAGCTTATATATCAATACCCAGGAAATTGGAGGAGCCCTCTGTGGTAAAATGAGCTAGCTCAAAAG